AAGCCCACACTGAAGTACAATAGTGAAACTCTGTCTCAAAAAAGGCAAAAAAGGGGGAATTACCCGCTTGGGCCCCCCTCCTGTCTCTCTCTCTCGGGACAGGAGCTTTCTTTCTCTCAATAAACATATTCTGCTTAGAAAAAGAAAAAAGGCCAAAAAAAAATTATTTTAAGAAAGAAATAATTTTCTATCCAGTCACAGTTCACAGGGCTCCTGGGGGTCTTTCCTCCATATAGTGATATTTTTTTGTTTGTGTGGTACTAGGGATTGAACTCAGGACCTTGTGCTTGCCAGGCAAGGACTTACACTACTGAGCTATCTCCTTGGCCCCCATATAATGACTTTTAACTAGGCAAAAGTACCTATTTCGGCCCTGTGAGTGACTGCTCTTTCTCTTTTTCAGTGAGTAGTATGGAGGGACATGGACTGAAGAGACTCTTAAAAGACCATGCAGATAGTGTGGCACAGAAAACACACCCCATTCCCTGCCACCTCTGGGCCTTTGTCTGAATCAGAAGCTTCAGGGCCTTTCTGACTGTACCAACTTGAACGAAAAGTAAGTTTTCCAGCTGGTGACAAGAAACATAATGGTGACAAGAAACAAAGGACATAAAAGGACTATCGTCCAAAGTCAGCTTGGGCTATGCAAGGAACGAATGTGTCATAGAAACAGGTACTTTACTGCTGGTTCTTCGGGCTGATAGAAATAGCAGCCTTTGAGCGAAGCCTGCTGAAGGAGCCAGCTTGGTTGCATTCTCAAGGTCATCCACTTCAAAGAGAGGGCAGAGGGCATGTGCACTGCTGTTATCTTCCCCTACAGCAAACACTGTATGTTCACGCTCCCCACACAATGAAAAGCAAGGTGACCTCCATGGAGCACCTGCCTGAGAAAAAGTGTGCTCGGGCCAGGATGTGGATTCTAAAGGAAGCACTCACAATGGAGCCATTCAATCTGATTATAAACTGCTACAAAGTGACAGGCTTCCCAAATCTAAGTAATAAGCCCCCCTACGCTACCATAAACGTGCCATTTGCCAGTATTACCAAGCTACTCCTCTTCCTCTCAACTCATCTTTCTTCTGTCCCCTCTGTCACTATGGCATATGTCTCATTCTACCCAGGGTCCAGAGAAATATGTATTTTTTAACCTTGGAATGTGTGTGAGGGGGGACAAATGGATCAGAACTCTACATATCTGGGAATAAAGTGCCAAACATCGGGGTGAGCATAACAGACCACAAATACTCTTCCACCAGCTAAAGGACAGGGCACAGATCACCATTCAAATGACAACAAAAGCCAAAACTGCCAAAGCGTGCCTGCTCCGCTACCCTCTAAGGACTGGTGAGGATGCCATGAGTGAATTCACGTGCACGAAAGAAAAGTTTTGCTGGAGCAATGGAAACAATATCACTTGTGATCATGGTAAATGAAAATGGTGGAGTAGCTGTTTCCTGACAGTGCAAGCAGCATTCCAAAGCACTGGTGATAGAAACACATTAGGAACGGTCCACAGGCAACGCAGACAAATGATTTATTTAGTGCCTAATGGCAAGAAGCTAGAGATTTTTAAGCATGGTGTCATATGTTAAATTCTTTTTGCTCAAACCAGTAAGGAGGCAATTGATCAAGGAAAGAGACTGGAGTGTGGCATGGAGGTTCACTGGGAAATGGTGCAGTACTGTTCACATGGGATCAGAAGGCCTGGAGAACCCCTAAGAGTGACAATAAAAAGAAATCTAAGGGCCAGCCAAATAGCTCAGTAGATTAAAGCACCTGCAAGCAAGCACAGGGGCCAGGGGTTTGATCTCCAGGCCTGCTGTGCCGGCCCTGCCTGCACATCCCCTCCCCCCCGTGTGCTGAGAAGGCAATTGAGACTGGGCATGGTTGTGCGTGCGCCTATAATCCCAGCTCTTGGGAGGCTGTAAACAGGTGGATCACTACGAGTCTGATCTAGTAGTGAGACCCTGAACACCCTGTGGACCCTTCCCTAAAATCAAAAAAAAAAAAAAAAGAAAAAAGAAAGAAAAAAGTAAAGAAAGAATTCTAAAGCTTAGCCAGGCCTGGTGGCACACACCTGTAATCCTACCTCTCTGGAAAGCTGAGGCAGGCGGATTTCAAATTCTAGCTTAGCTGACTCTGCAACCTAGCAAGATTCCCCCCATCTCAAAACCAAAATTAAGATAGGCCAAGAGATGTGGCTCAGTGTAAATGTCTAGGGTCCAACCTCTAGTATGAGCAAAAGAAAATGTTTCTTTGTGGGGTAGCACTTAAGCAGTTTTTTTTCTAATTATAAATGTTCAAAGAAGACAGTTCATAAAATACAAAATAGCAAGCAAATAAAAAGCCACCTGTTACTACTGTTCCACTGTCATCTCTTGACTGATTTCTCCCCAGGCTCACAAAAGATGTTTCCAAAAATTCTGAGACTGCTTGGCCAGGAGGCCTTCCATGAATATGCAAGGATGGACTTGCTTCCAAGCCTTGGCACTCAGAAGACAGGCCTGCTATTACAGGGACAGGAAGTAACCCAGCAAGAGATGTGAAGACAGAGGAGAAAGACAGCATCCCAGCAAAACGATGGGACAGAGAGGGCACATGTCTATGCTTCCTGTGTGCTACAAGCCTGGGGAAGCCCGGACAACCAGGCAACTTGGTGAGACTCTGTCTCAAAATGAAAACTACAAAGGGGCTGGGGATATAGCTCAGCATGAAGGCCTGGTGTTTAATCCCCAGTGCCGCCAAATTACAAGAAAAAGAAGAGAGGGAGGGGGAACAGGAAACAATAAAGAGAGGTGGAACTGACTGTATCCTGTTATGGGAGGCACCACCACAGAAAGCAGAGATTTGCTCAGCAGCCCCTTATCCTGAGAACAAAATGTAAGAAGGACAGAAGGGAAGAAGGTGGTGGTTATCTGATGAGTCAGTCCAATGGCATGACAGGATGCAGAAGTCCTGGTGGCCTTGAGCACAGCCCAGCTCTCTCTGCAGCAGGGACCATCTCTGAATAGACGCCTGTCAGCAAGTTTGTGTTTCGATTCTTACCCTCAAGCCACGACATGACACACACTATATACGCAGATATGTGCATATGAATGTGGATGTGTTCCACAACTCACTCGGACAGTAACTGGAACTTGATGAAAGGGAAGACTTAAGCCAAAAGAACCTTACAGCACTGTGCATTAATGTATAACTTGATTTCAAAAACAGAGAGAATCTGCATTCCATGCGGTCATTAATATTTACTATATGAAAGTTACTTGTATCTACATTCTGGAGTAGAAATATTAATCTAGCAACATGTAAAAAAATCTAGATAGTAACAATCTATTCATCTTTTTGGAGGGTTTGGTATGAGGTGGAAATGCTTTTATTCCTCCATATCTATTTCACATTTACAGTAAATCTGCCATTACTCTGGCAAAACAATTCAAACCGTATATTCTACTCTACACAAGTAGACTTATTTTGTGTGCAATTTGCCCAATTAATTATTAAACACTCAAAATGCTTTACATATCTAAATATTCACAAGGCTCTGCCCAGAAAATAGTTGTAGCTTTATCCTAATTTATTGCTAAAATAAAAAGAAAAAAATAACCTCAGGTTTAAACCAGTTGCTTCTACAGCTAGTTGCATTTTGTACAAGTCAGCCATTGTTAATGGGGTTACCATGGATTGAGAAACCTCATTAAAAAAAAACCCTCACAGCCTTTAGAAAAAAAAAGAACACTGTGAATAATGTGGTCCTGCAAATACCCTCCCCTTTAATGCTGGTGGCATTACAATTAGAAACAACTTCTGCAAAAAATCCAGCTGGTCATATGTATCAAAAGCCACAAAATATTTATATCCATTAGGCTGATAATCATATTTCTGGAGAATTTATCCTGAGGAAAAAACTTCAAAGAAAAGAGCTAAGTGTAATGAAGATGTTCACTGTGGCCTTATCTACCTTACCAAAATGCAAGCACTCTAAATGCCTATCCGTGGCTATGCATACATGCTGGGAGGAAGAGGGAGTTTCTGGGGCACTAATTATGGTGTAGAAAAAATAGGAGAGAGAGAGCACACAGGAGAGCGGGAGAGAGCGGGAAAGAGCATGCGAGAGCGAGCGAGCGCACAATGGGTAGGTGTATTCATCCAGTGATTGACACTGGCAAGGATTACCAACCTCACATCTTATTTTAAGACTATGGGGTGGGCTGGGAATATAGCTCAGTGGATGGATGAGTGCACATATGAGGCAGTGGGTTTCACTGCCATCACTGACTCCCACCCCTCTAAAAAGACTATACCAAGTCACCACCAAGAAGGCTTTACAACAGTAGGAGGATGTCAGAGCAACAAAACTCAGTGTCTGTCTCTCTCTCTCTCTCTCTCTCTCTCTCTCTCTCTCTCTCTCTCTCTCTCTCTCTCTGCAGTACTTAAATCCAGAGCCTTCATACTGAGCTAGATTCCCACTGCCTTTTATTTTGTGACAGAGTCTCACTAAGTCATTAGTTTTTCCAAGCTACATGCAATCCTCCTGCTTTAGCCTCCCACCCAGAGTGCTTGGATTACAGAAATGCACCACCACATCCAACTCAATCAAAAAAGAGAGAGAAATAGAGAGAGATAACTGCTATTTACCAACAGCCTTTATAAAGGAAGCCATAATAAGGTAATTGGGGGATGGGACTAAGACACTCCCCTACAAAGGTCATTTTCTTACCATGGATTTCCATAGCACAAGATTTATTTCCTGCCTAGTTGAACCAATCTAGACATTCCTCCTCCCAGCGCCTGAGAAACCATGCAGTTCCTGCTACAGATGGCCCCATCTTTTCCTGCCTTTGCATTGTCTTTGCTCCCAGAATGTACAATCCCAGCAGCTGCTTCCTACAGGGTTTCCTAAGATCCCCAACCCTGTAGCAGTATCCGCAGAAGAGCTAAAGTGAGAAACTCAAGTATAGGGAGGCTTTTAAAATAGAACAAAAAGGAAACGTATCACTTACAAACTGGAAGCAGCTCCTGACACTAGGCTCAATGTTGCTGCCTCCAAAGGATGCGACTTCACCCAACTGTCTCGGGATTTGGATAGAATCATGCAGAAGGAGGCCCAGCCTGCGCTGGTCACAGAATCCTGTTGAACTTGCCACTTGCTTGAAAAGGTCTGAAAAAAGAAGAGAATGGAAGTAATCAAAATACTGTACCCAATGGCTACACCCAGTGCTTCATTCCTACTCGATTCTAGGACTGATTTTCTAGACTCAATTCTCAGGAGTAGCCCATATTCCCAAAAGGGGGCTTTACTTCTAACTTATGCTAGTCTGGACAGAGTGTTGTAGACTAAGGTCATCATCACTGTGGTTACATGAAAGGTGACAACTTTTAAATCAACTGCAGCTGTTTAGGAAATGCACGTTTGTATGTGATCTTAATGCCCGACTGTTCCTACCACAGAACACAATCTTTAGGGAAATACACATACGAGTATGTGACATAATGACTGTCATGAAAGTTTTAGTAGTAAGAGCCATATAACTGGCCTAAAGCACTATTCCTTTAGAACTTAAGAGATTTAAAAATGTAACAAATTGGATAACATCTTCATGGACTCATAAGATCATTTTCTAGTCCATCACGTAGGTGGCTTACACAGGACGCTGTGCTAATTTGTACTTGGCTCACAGCCATGTTACATTGTTACTGATTTGTGTTTGCCTTTTTAACTGAAGAATAATACTCCCTTGAGGGCAGGGTCCCCACTGTGTTGAACTGTATGCCAGAACTCTCTGGAATAGAAGAGCAGTACCTAGAGTAAAACAGAATGCCCTATGCAGCTAACTGCATGAACATATCAAACACTAGCAATGTATGTTCTGCTCTTATAAACAAAATGATTTAAACCATATCATGTTCACCTAGAAGTTGCCAATCAAAATCAAGTCCCAGAAAGCTTCTTGTACCCATAGGCACATTTATAAACTCAAAGCAATTAAATATTTTAACAGTCTTTGTAAGATGCAATCACAGACTATGTGCACAGCTTTTACCATCTCCCGAAGAGTTTTTTTTGCCAAGTTATGAATTATTTTCAAGTATCTCACTTTGAAGTTAGTATTTTTGTTTCCTCAACCTCAAAACATGTTCTTTTTTTAGAAATTACTTGAAACAGAGGCTCAAAGCTCCCCTGATGGTTCAATTTAGTATTTTCAGTGCACTAGGACTGTGCCACTGGCAAGGTTAGATTAGCAATCAATTTATAGCCCAGCCCCTGAAATAATTTCAACCCAGAATAATTTTAAAGGGTTAACAAAAGCTGTTCAGCTTTCTCACCCCACCCGGTGTTTTGATGGAGTTTTTTTTTTTCTTTTCTTTTTGATTGTTGGGATGAAAAAACTCAAGTCGAAAGTACATAAAAGTGAGCTAAGCCACTCTGTGTGTTTTGCAGCTTATTCCTACAAGAGAAATGTGCAGGAGAACACGGAGTAGCTTCGGAGGAATTTATTCTTTTTGTCTCCTGCCTGTCCTTAAGCTCAGCACCTGTCCTCAAGCATGGGTGGTGAGTCCTTAGGGGAAAAGGGACAAGATAAGCTGGGTTTGTTTAATGTTCCTCCTGAAAAGATTTGTGCAAGCATTTAAGTGGGGGAAAAATCCAAGCACAGTCCTATACCAGAATGGATGCTTGCTTGGTCATCTAAGTCTTAATCACTCTTGTAGCATTTACTTTTAATTTAGATTTGCACTCTTTAAGCAGAAGAACCCAATGGCTAATCAAAGGGAAATTCAATAGGGTGGTATTTAGCCTTTAAGAAATAGCAAGCCATCATTCTTTTGAATAATAAAATGTTAGTCACGTCACAGACTTGGCTATGTCAGTTCAACTTGCAGTAAGATGATTATAAAATAAACAATGTTTCTCAAATATGAATGCCAGATAGTGTTCTTTAAATAAGACTCCAACGATGAGGCAAGAGCAGGGATTAAACCTTCCCATGTATTTCGCTGACTTATACAAAGGGGTTAGAAAATCAGACTTTATCCTCTAGGAACATGTGTTTTATTCAGAGACAGTCAATGTAACGTAAAATAATACTCGGACTGGAGAAGCTAATCCTCGTGCTCTACCTAAATACCTGTAATTTAACGTTTGACAGGGAATGGCACAAAGCAAATTTTAAGACACTCTAAAAGCTACATCTTATATGGGGAATCTGCGGTCAAACAAGAACAGTGTATCACTTCCCATCTAGAACTAGGGTAATTAGCCAACATTAATAAGAGAATACAGAGTTACTGTACATGACTTACATCTGTACTTGTCTTCCAAATGTGCTTTACACAGAGAAATGATGCCAGTTTTAAAAGACAGGACACGGATCCTCCCAGTTCGTCCCCTATTATAAAGAATCAAATGGAAAGCAATTACTAACACTAAAATTGAAAAGTTCTAGTTCAGAGGGAAAAACAAAGCCCCACACAGAGGAACCCCACTGACTATTGTTTTATTAAGATTGCTAAAAACTTTTCTGAGTTCATTCTCTGTTTGACTCACGATCTACAATGCAATGGAAATCTGACTAACTGCATTAGCATTACCAGTTTTTAATTCTTAAAAGCCTTGTTAAGAGTAGTTCTATATAAAATAGAAAAAACATTTCCTTCTGTTCACCTGTGGAGAGCCATTTTCAGTTAAGTGAGTAAATGGAGGAAGCGCCTTTATACACTACGCTATTTGGTCACTGAAGCCCCAAAATTACTAACATATAATTCCTCTGTTCTCTTCAACATTCAGATTTTAATCAAATTGGCCCTTATACTAAAATTACTCACTTCAGCACAGATGTGTCATAATATAAAATATGAACTCTTTCTCCAAAACAGAACATACACTATGAGAGGACACTCAAACAGATGCTTTATAAGAAAAATTTGTAAGTGACCTATTGCTGTACCAACATTTTACTCTATCCGTAGAAATGTCAAGAAAAGCACTCCACATCACAAAGCAACTGTACCTTATGTATTGGTGTTTTTAGTTAACAATATGAAAAAATATTTAAAAATATATAAAATAAAATAAAAAAACAGGGCCGGGGAGATGGCTCAGTGGAAGAAGCGCTTCCCTGGCAAGCGCAAGGGCCTGAGTTCAATCCCCGGTTCTGAAAAAAAAAAAAAAGCTCCATTTTTAACTCGTATAATTTATTAATACCCTTCAGTTAAAAAGAAATCTTGGACTCTAATGTATTAAGAAAAGTCCTATTATTGGACAATTTTCTGATTTTTTTTCCTTTTAGGAAAAAGCAAAGTACTGCTTTAACAAATAAACTTTATAGAGTAATGTGGGTCTTCAAGGAGTTAAGATCACCCCTAAATAATTTTCAGGCAGCTAGAGTGAAAAGTTATATACTTTGAATCCAGTCACATGCATGTCATCTGCAAAGAAACTAGTGTTAAAACATTTTTGAGGGAAGATCTGACTAAAAATCCTCAACAAAACAAATATAGGGGCCGGGGAGATGGCTCAGTGGAATAAGTGCTTGCCTGGCAAACACAAGGGCCTGAGTTCAATCCTCGGTTCTGCAAAAAAATAAAATAAAATAAAATAAAATAAAATAAAATAAAATAAAATAAAATAAAATAAAATAAAATAAAAAATTATATATAAATGTAACCCACAATGAGCATCTAACATGTTCAAGGACTTGGTAGATAATTACCATGAGTTCAATAGCTAGGTGGTCCAAAATTTAAAAAAATAGTATCTCACCAAAGTTGCAAAACAGTACAAATTTTAATGAAGGAGGTAGAAGTCTAGAACAAAGGCAAAAAGCACAATAGTTGCTGTGCAACCCAATCTTCCCAGATTTCCAAATGGGAATGTGTTCTTGTTGATGTGTGTAATGAGGCATGTAATAATTCTGAGGTCTAAGAAGAATTCACTGAAAATCAAGACCAATTCCTTCTGTTTCCTTCCTCAATTGTCTTCATTAAGCTCAAGACAAAAATGAGAACTGGAGCTATTTCCTATGTGCAATCTAGAAGAAATAAACAACTGTTCGCTAAGAGAGAGTGATGAATGGAAGTGCCAAATTGAAACTTTGTGAAACCTTATTAAAAAACAAAACAAAACAAACAATCTTCTGCTCTCGGAGGAGCCAAGTTGGTTGCATTAGGGGCTTACATTCATTGTGTTTGGTTTATCAATTTATAATCCCTTGCAGCATTCTACATATCAGCTAGGACAATTCTGGTGATGATGGGGTACCAGCATCTCCAGGAGCACAATGAGCCCTGCCAGTGAGTGGGACCTCCCCAAAGTGGGCGGAGGACACTCCGCATACACACCATATACACGACAGAAAGGGGACAAACCAACAGCTACACATGACCCATTCCAAGACTCGAGAAACGAACATCTCAGGGTTTTGTTTCCCAGGCTGAAACCAATCTCCTTTCTTCTTGCTACCTCTTAGTTTATCAGGTATTTTTCAAGTCATATAAATATGGAAATGATTTATTACATGAACAGTATTAGGTTCATAGCTTCTGGGACCCCATTGCTTTTTTCTTCTAACATATAAGCAGATTCTTTTTAACAATCCAATTACTTGTAATAATGTATCATTCTATTTTCTCCCTTTTTTCTGCCTACCTTTAGTTCACTTCTAGTGAGCAGTTCCAATAATAATGAATTTCAAGCACATGCATACTCTTAAAGTACGTTCACTTAAAAGAAACTTGTAGAAATCCACTGGTGTCACTATTTCCATTATTTCATGTTACTATTTTCATGCTAAATTTGTCTAATGAGATATTTTCGGATTTTTAAAGTTTCTTTTTTATTAGTTTGTATTTGCAATATGCAATTAATACATACCTCGTGGCAAATTGATAGTATCACATCTGGATTCTTTCTATTTTCCATTCTCATTACCTCCCTCCAGTACGTCCCACCCCCAAACCCCCTTCCCATTTCCATTCTCCACTGGGGCCTTATTGCAATACTGTTTACACTGTCTCCATCCTGTGGGCCAGGTGTCCGGTGACAGTCTGCTGAAGTCCTTGCTGTACTTACGTGTCATAAACGTTCAGCAGCCAGTTGAGACACATATCCACACAGAGAGGGACATTGACCAAATTGTTGTGCTCTTGCTCCAGGCGATCATAAATAGTGGTCAAGCAATTAATGATCTGCAGGATATCCATGGGCTGGTCATTTTGCTTGAGGTTGTGCTGGTCCAAGGCATCACATGCAGCGGACAGGCTCAAGAGATCCACTGCAAAAATGGTCAATCACAAGTGATTCAAAGCATGAAATTCTTTCCCCTATTTTCCTGGTCTTGCAAATGCCATCCTCTTTTACAGGTGCTCTTGAGCTGGGACTGGAGCTCAGTGGCTCAGTGGTAGACAGCATTTGCCTAGCATGCATCCATGCATGGGGTCCTGAGCTCCATCCCTAGCACTCCCTAAAATCATTCTGCTTTCATCCTCCAGCTCCTATTTGGTGTATCTGATTTATTCGGGCCTAAAGTTATTGTCAAATCCCATGGACCCTGCAGATAGGGACAAAAAATTCCCTTCCCTAGTATACAGTGGAATATTTTAAAGTTAAGGGTACCTATCTTGTAATATGTAAACTGAGTAAGAAAAAAATTTTAACAATTCTGAAAGAGATACTGACAACACTTTCTTGTAGAGGTATTACAGGAGGTCAGTTAGATGAATCTGTGTAGTTAGGGTTGTGCAAATGCTAGGTGTGCATCTATAATCATTATGCATTTCTCTCCCTGAAATATCAGTCAACACCTCCTTGCTGCTTTAAAATCAGATGAGAAAATAAGCAACTTCACTAAAATGTTCTATAGGAAAATGGAAGTCACTGAATATTTTCTCCAGTTTTCAGGCCTCAGACTTATTTATTCCTTTTTTCACCTTTAAACTCTATCTTATAACAAACTTCAAGTCCTCAGCAGATCCTTCTAAGGTGCATATGTGGGAGGGGGTCCTTTGATTGGAGGTACTACTTACGCTAAAGGATAAAAATTTAACAAAAGCAAAACTTCAACCTTGTCCTACATCTACAAATCATAACCCTTATTCCCAAGTGTCATGAAAAGAAGCTTCTTTTTAAACCCAATTTATTAGCCAACCTGGAAATGCAACAATATTGCTTTCATAAAACCAGGGAATTCTCAGTCTTTGTTCCTTTGAGACAAAGAATCAATGATGATTAAGGACATCCCTGACACATCTCAGGGAAGGGGGCACTAAAATTATAAATGCAACTTCAGGTAAACACAGGCCATTCAAGTCTATCAACAGCTTTCTCCATAATAAAAGCGAATTTCAGGCTGTAATGCACCTTACTACTTACTTTTGGCAAGCTCTAATTAAATACTAGGAAAAAAACAAAAATAGTGGTTAACACCCACGTTGGTTAATACCTAGGTAGTGTATACATTTTTTTCCTTTGGAAAAGGAAAATAGAAAATGAGTTTTCCCTGGAAGCACACAGGAAGGTGGCAGAAACAAGACGTTTTTGTTTTACAACCTGTCCATAAAACTGCCCTTGTGGACATGTTCCCTTAAAATGTTGCAGACTGCCACTGTTGCTGTGTGAGGAAAGGCCCTTTTCCTTTTCCTCTCACTTTTTTTTCTTTACACAGCAGAGGATGGAATCCAAGACCTCACACATGCTAGCTAAGTGCTTTACCACTAAGCTACACACCAAGCCCATTTTTACTTTAAGACAGAATCTCACTAAGTTGTCCAGGTTAGCCTCAAACTTGCACTCCTCTTGCCTCAGCCACCACCACAGCTACAATCACAGCTGTGAATACAGCCATGTGTCACTTGCACCTAGCTCTAACATGTTTTCTTACATACAGAAGGAAGCTCTGCATTGGTAACTTGAGGGGTTTTAATTATTTTCTGTGTTGTTACTCTGCTCAATCATGCTAAATAGGTTCACATTAGGTCCAAAGATGTGAAAATTAGTACATGAGAACTTTTAGACTCTTTTTTTCATTAATAGTCTAATGTACCCATGTGACAAATACCACAGCAAGATTACCTGAGTTTCCTTTTACTGAGTCTACTCTATGTCTGCATAGGTGAATGGGAAACACATGGAACAAAAAATGCAGAGTAAAAATAGCTCCACAGGGGAGCAAGGAAATTGCTCTGAAATAAAATGAGCAGAGGATGACACTGGAGCGAAATACTGTGCAGTGAGCACTGCTCAGGCCAGATGTGGTTAAATATAAGAACAATTCATCACAGAAGACTGCGACCATAGTTTTCAAAACACAGCAACCTGAATCTTGTTTTCATGACCAGTATGCATTACATATATGTATGTAGGTATGTATACAGTTTTTCTGAGACAGGTCTTGCTATATAGCCCCTTCAATGCTGTATGTAGCCCAAGATGCCTCTTACTTCAGCCTCCTGAATGCTGGGATTACAAGCATCTACCACCACACTGGGTTTCAAATATTTTAATGGAAGAAGATACTACAGCATTTGACGTCACTAAAGAAGGACCATATGGTGTCCCTCCAGCCTAAGGGATGTGGGGGTAAAAAAGGAGGGAGAAAGGCCAAAAAATGAATGACCCTCTTAGATCTCTTTGTTGTACAGAAAAAGTAATGAATGGGAAGAAAGACCTAACTCCAAGATCCCACCAATAGCTCCTACAGCTCTGGCTGTGCCTAATCAGCCTCTCAAACTTCTAGATACAAAAGTGGATATATTTTATAATGGTGGAGGAACTGCTGGGTGTCTATGACATATTCTTGCCCAGTCCATAGAAGGTGCTGAGGCAGGAGGGTGTGGTTAAGATTGGCATGGGAAAGTAGGCAGGACCTGTTAGTCCTAGGCCACATGAGCAGAACAGTTTGGAAAGTCCTGCACATGGATTTCTACAGACAATTAGGTAGGTTTGGGATAAGACGACCTAGTCGTGAAGCTAGTGTGGGAACTGTAAAAAAAGGACAGCAGCCATTAAGCTCTCACTATTGTGTCTCTTCATAATAGCTCGTGCTCATCGGTATTTTTTTTCTTTTCCTACTTTTACTTCACCCAAACTCACTCTCCAGAGCCCGTTTTTCTCCTACCTTTAATAAATATGAAATTTTGCTACCATTTATATTTGTTTCAACCAGTTCTTTGTTCAGGACAGGAAGAACCTAGGAATCACCCCTAGAAGGAGATCTGAGCACCCCAAATTCAGTAACTGTATCTGGGAAAGAAGATACTACTACTGATATCATTTGTTTCTATAGGGGGCTTCCATTTATAAAGAACATACCAAGTAAACCTCTGAAATGCAAGCAAGTCAGTGTACTCTGTGGTCTGAGAGTTAATCTCCAAGAATGGTGTTGGCGCCAGTTGTTCTGCTAAAATATGTACATGGCACCGTGGTGAAGGGAGTGAAAAGAAGTGACTTCTGGAGTTGGAACATAGCCCTGGGTTACAAGTCATTCCCACTATTTCCTGTTAACAGGAACAAAGACCATTTTTTCCTGGTCAGATCAATGGTGAGATCAGTGAAAACCACTGAGGTTTGGGGCTCACCACAGGAAGGATATGCACAGGGGCATAAGAAACCCCAACTGAGACTCCACTTCCTGCTCCCTGGCTCCTAAGCCTTTTGTGCTTTGATCCAAGTAACAACACATAGGGATCCTGATATGGCCCTTGCTGAGAGAGGACAATCTGAGTTTGCACCTGGCCACGCTGGCTCCCATGCTCAGTGGTAGCCTGTGGCTGTAATGCATATCCTGATTCAGTGTTGTTGGTTTATTGTATCCTGTTCCTAAAATGGAAATTGGTGAGCACTGTTTGGCAACTGAATTGTCTAACTGCCACCATTAGTGCAGGTAGCATCAGAAGTGAGATTGTTTATAAGACCACTACTCACTCTTAGCTAAAAATATGACCGAGGCACTATGTAGGGAAATAAAAGATAATTCTGATAAAAGGGAAGAACATGAACCCCAACGCTGGTAGCCAAGCTATCCCTGGCTTAAAGTAGCACAGGCTGTGAAATTGGTTATTGATAATACAACTTCTTAATGGAATCTGGAAATGACAGAACCTGAATTTAAGAAGCTAACAAACCGGATTAGAAGGGAACTGCAAACTGATGGCAGGGCCGATAAAAATTCAATCACTTGGGTGCTTGTTAGCAAAAGTTAAAGTTCCGAATCTCCTCTGGCAGCACTTCACTCTCTCTGGCCTGCAGGTGGAGTTCAAACCAAAGGAACTTGAGCAACTGTCACTTTTGACAAATGGGCTACATGTGTGAGGCCCACTACAATTTTAAAAAATCTTACAACCCGGCACACTTGTAACCCTCAACATGCTGAAGTTGGAGAATCCCAACCTGAGCCGACCTTGGGCAACTTGGCAGCACAGTGAGATCCAGTCCTAAAATACACATAAAAAGCCTGGGGTTGTAGCTCAGTGTGAAAATCCTCGGTACAATTATCAGTAGGGGAGGGGGGTGACTTAACAAGGTAACTTACAGATGTACCCTATTTGACCATAATTTCCTTTTTCAATCCCAGACGCAGAGTTACTGGGCTAGGCTAAAAAGAGCCTCAAAAGCTGGTATTACTCCAATAGAACATACTATGGTGATTAGTTGGAACTGAAGTGCAAAAATCCCACAGAGATCAATGGAATGGATTATATCTGCACCTTACCCAACTGGGGCTGTCATAAATGTTTCACTGCCTAGAGGGCAGAATAGCCCAATTTCTCTGCACTAATCCAATCTGATCCCTTATCATTGGGAAAATACTAAAAGGAAACCCTGCATGTCTTATTTTGCTACCAAATAAACATGGACTAGCCTGCTGACTGAATCCTGGGGCCTAATTTGTATCTGTAGCAGGGAGGATTTGGATTAAAATTAATGCCAAAGGAAGAAAGGTGAAATTGCTGATGTGGGGAAGAAAGCCACCAAATAGGTTTTGGAATAATGTGTTCCCACAAGTTTTGAGTCAGATACCCTTTGGGGTAAAGAACCCTGCTAAAAAAAATTCCCCTTTAAAGAGGCAGTAAGTGATCCAAGCAGTTGGCCAACTGGTGCATGAGAAGTTGTGAATTCTGGCTGGGAATCTGCCTCCATGGGCCAAAAGTAATGAGGCTATGTCTTTTCATTCTTATTTCATAGACATATCTGTTATTAAGCATCTGCACTAGAAAGTTCTCCATGGGAATATTTACCCAGTCCACCTCGAGGATGATGATTTATAACACTTTGGAT